CACACGACAACAGCAAAGCTAAGTTAGCCGACGACACTTGAAGTCGGATGGACACGATTTTCTGCCAATCTGTGTTTTTCCCTTTTTGGCCAAATCTATATTTTACGACAACTGTCTTGTTGACGGCGTCTTTTATTCGTTCCACTGGGGTTTAGCAGGTGTGTTTATAAAGAGACGAAAATTGTTTGGGGACTATCCCCCACGTTCTAGTTGAGATGGTATAACCCAAGAGGCAAAATGACGCTTGCTACTGTTGTTGCGAGTTGCCATTCGTTCTACTAAACCATTAGTCAAACGCCATCATGTCTTTTGTCGTTATTACACAAACAAAAATCTATTTACTGTTACTAGTGTTAGTACCTCAATATGGTTACGCTCGTGAAAGCAATACAACGAACTCAAACGCGTCTTCGTTCAATGTTGTCAACAAATATCCGGATTATGCAAATTTTCCTCAATTCTCCGGAGAAATTTTCATAAAAATTTGAAAAACCCGGAATTCCGGGAAAATCCGGAGGACTTTCATCTCTGATTGATAAACATACACTGTCAAAGAGGTATTAACAACATGCGCCATTTGATTTCACGTTATGTTTATGAATGTTTGTGGTTCGCAGTGGTGTAGAACTGTACCACGTGATAACATTTTGTGATTGATTTTAAGGGAAAACTCAAACTGGGTCCACATGTGGCTATTGTATCAACATTGGCAATACATGGTGTGCATTCACGCATTCCGTCTGACACATTTCCTATTTGGTCTCTGGAGTGAAAAGGTTTAGGAGCACCGGAATCAGATGTTGTGATGTGCAGTCACGTACCTTTTCAGCAGGTAGGGGTCAAAGGGAAAGAAGCTGTCCAGGGGGTTGGTGTTCGTGGTCACGCTGTCGCCTCCAGCTGAGCTGTGCACCACGGGCAGCATGTGGCGGCTGTTTCTCTCGATAATGGTGTAACAGAACACCACCTGATATTTCCTGAAACAAGCACAAACACAAACACAGCGACTGTCAGGTCCAGCAGGCAATCAGACCCTTAAGACAAACCTTAAAACACAAAGAGAGACTAGGAGTCAAGCAGAGTTGTCTTTTGTCGCGAGGAGAACGAACTGAGAGTGCAATCAGCTACAGTCTCGGAACAGCTCTGAAAACACTTTGCTTGTCTCCCCTCTCTCTATTGCCTTACGCTATGTATGTAAACGAAGTCCTTCCAGGGACGCACTAGTAAGTTGATTATATATCTAGAAGCAGACAGCGATAAGCTATATACAATTACTCTTAAGAGCGACGCCAAAGCAACTCGGCTTTGACATGCACAAAGGATTAGTCATGCTTGTGCGGTAACACTTGTCTTGTGTGCTGAGCGGTTACCTGGTGATGGCTGCAAACATGTTGGTGACCGCAGGGAGACACACTTTAAGCGGGTTCATCTGACACATGACCACCCTCTCCAGGTTCAAACTTTGCAGGTACTCCAAGCCTGACGCAGACACACACCATTACTGGATAAGACTAGAGTGTGGACAGATTTTGTGTGTGTGTGTGTGTGTGTGTGTGTGTGTGTGTGTGTGTGTGTGTGTGTGTGTGTGTGTGTGTGTGTGTGTGTGTGTGTGTGTGTCAGTGTTGTGTCCAAGGACCGGCAACCCGAGGCCAAGGCCAAGGCCAAGGACTTGAGAACTTTTCCGAGGCCAAGGCCAAGGAC